GTAATGTAAATCTATGAGAGCAGAATCCTAGTGAACATCCACAGGTACATGCTATGCAAAGAAGTCATTAAAAGGAAGGAGAAAGCAAAATTAGAGGAGAAGAAGACTAGGAGAGGTCAACATACAAGGAGAGAGAAAAGAGAAAATTTAAGGAAGGGCACAAAGGACATGGGCCACGTGACTTTGATCCTCACAGTAGATCATATACACACACAGAGGAGACAAGAGTGGATTTAGACTTTTAAAAAGTAGGAAATTTGGGGCTAGTGGGATGGCTCAGCAGTTAAGAGTACTTACTGCTCTTGCAGAGGGCCTAGGTTCAATTCTCAGCACCCACATGGTGGCTAACAGCCATTCGTAACTCCAGTTCCAAGGGATCAGATGTCCTCTTCTGACCTCTATGGGCATTGCATGACACAGGTACACATGCAGGCAATACACTCATACACATAAATAAAAGTTAAAAATAAGTAGGAAATTTGAAATACTCTGTATAGAAATTAGATTTATGACCTAGTGTTCACACTGAAACAGTACAGGGTGGGAAAGTCAATCAGGAGACAGGATTTTCCTACTCAAGGCTGAGTGAGTGAGATACAGTGGGCAGATATCAACACAAATGTCACATGTCCCTTCCTTTCTCGATGCCTGCCTTCATGATCACGAATAGGAAGGAAGAAAGGTGATGTTAGGAAAGGGCTGATAAGAAAGGTAGGGATCAAGTCTCTGGGTTACAGGAAGGATACACCCACTGGGAGCCAAAGATTAGAAAACGAAAGATAATGTTTAAGATCAAACTTCCACATCAGTCCATTTTTGCAATGTTTAAATATTTTCAAAGGTAGACAAAGACATCCAGCAGGCTCCTAGATCACTCCTCAGCTCTACCTAGCTGCTGCCTCTTCCATTAAATCATTCATGCCATTTTCATTTACCACATATTCCTCCAGGCTCCATCCATCAAATTGAATTGAATCTCCAAAGTTCTGCAAATAAGTTTGTCACCATTTCTAACACTTGTGAAGTTCAGCAAATTTATGCTTTTTTCTTGTCTTTCCATGTTTTAAAATGATTAGGTGCCCATTTTCATAATATCTAGGCATGACACTGACTTCAGAACTCTCTAGTACTTACCAATGAAAATGGTCAAACAATTACAGTCAACAAACACAATCATTGATCTATGTATAATCATATTATTTCACCTTTAATTATCTTTGAATTTTTATTATTAGATAAAGCTTACAGCATACAGTAAGATTACTTGTTTCTTTTTTGCTTGAACAGCAAAGATATAACTCCATTTAGTCAGCGAATGAAATAAACCAATAAGGAGGGGCCAATTCAATAAAATCCTACAAATAACAAGGAAACAATAGCTGTCATGGATCTAGTAAACCATAGCATCTGAACTTGAGGGTGGAAGATGGTAGCCCCCTACCATTCCCTAGACTGCACTGGCCATCCTGTATTCTGCTGTGTCTGATCCATGAAACTGAATAATAATTTAATGTTTCCATTATCAGTGTTGTTTTTATCACTATATCGTCAATAACTCCTCTAGTATTAAGACCATGCTTCTTTCTGCTTTATAATTCACATGCCTGCCTCAGAAATATAACTACTTACACTGTAGACTGATTGAAGAAGGCACCCTAGAAGTTAATCTACCCTACATATTGCTGTTCTTTAAGCCATGGTACAAAATTTTGAAAAATACCAAAGATCACTTCTGGATGAAAGTTATTATGATTTTTAAAGGTTTTAACACTAAAATGTAGCCTGAATCAAACTCCTAGAAATAAAATTTGCTGATAAATAATTTAGAACAAATATAATCTTTCTGGAAAGAAAGAATATATTTTATGAACAGAATGTATGTCATATTTTCAAAAATGCTAATTTAAATATATTTCAAAGCAAAAATCTATGTTGTATGTGTCACCATGATAACAACAAAAAGTTACAGTTTGACTACAGGGACATTTCCTAAGTGGAGAATTTATATTGCTAATTTGAACAACATAGTGACACAAATTCCACAAAAATAAGATAATAGCCAACCTTCCCTTCTTTCAGTTCTAGAAAATGTGTGTGAAATAGCTTCTCTCTTCCCACACAACAGCCCCTTCACCCACGTCTTCCTGAAGTGTAAAAGAAAAGGGCACAGGAGGTGGAGAGAGGAGGAAGGGAATGTGTTCTCCTTACATAACCACATACAGGGGGCAGGAAGTGGTACATTCACCAAGAGAAGCATTTTCTCTTTAGATAAATGACTTTCTTCTTTTCTCACCCTTAGAAAGAAAAATGGGCTTCCCAACGGGTTCCTGTTCACCACATTTTCCTGTGTATTTCATTCCCATAAATTTTACTAAGTACTTCTTTATCTCCTACTTTGGGCATCTATTGAGCTTACTTTTTTGTCTTTAAGCATAAGAAAGGATCAGGAATTACATATTTACAAAAGTTTTGTTTTTTGGAAACTAATGGCTGATAAAGTTAACATAAGCAAAATCCAGTAAACTGTACTGATGTTTTGGGATATGATGCTTTCAGATGGTCCATTCACATGCCTGGTACCATTAAAAATGGCTTTGGGATAGGCATTTATCTATACATTTTAAATTGCTTTCCTGTATCTTTGTACAATATTTGTTCACTGCACATGAACCTACAACCTTCTAATTACTGTACTTGTTCTGTGTTGATATGCAATTGTGATGGTGGTGCTAAAATAGAATTTTAATATAAAAAGAAAAAATCATTGGTCTAGGTATGAATCATACATAAAATGAAGAATTGTTATTTTATTTTCTTCAAACACGATTCAGCAGTTTAGAAAGTTTATGTCCTTTACATTAAGAGAGTTTATTCTACAAGATTACAATGACTATTATACAGTTAAATATTATTTATTTATATTTAATTCAGTCTAGCATTTATGAATCTTCCCAAATAAATATAAAAGAATTTACTCATGGTGTATCTTTGATAGTTTCTATGAAAGATAACTATGAATTAAAGTATTTGGAAACATTTTAAATGAATATAAAGGCTAACATTCTTAAATAATTGAAACTAATTAATAAAATAGTATATATTTTTTAGAAAATACTAAATTATACATATTTTAAACATCACGTATATCTTTAGATAGGAACTATAAAATGGACCGGTTTGTATTTTGATCCATTAATAAGGACTTAATAATGACTAAAACTCAGGAAATAAAATGAGGCTCTTCTCACTTGAAAACCTGGATTATTATTAGCTTTGGCCATATTGGTATAAGGACAGGATTGCTAAAACATTTTTTGAAGGAAAAAAATGGACATCAGAATATAATGCTAAAAGTAGGTAGCAGTGTTCTGTGGGCTTAGATTGAAGGGCTCCAAGAAATTTTTACCAAAATCAAAACCAATGCTAAACAGCTCTCAAAATAGTAAAAAAATGCAAAAATATTTAGAACCCAATTTAAATACCTAGAGAGAAAATGTAAGTGCATTTTTATATTCTGTTTAATACCCTGAAGTTAAAACATCAGATGACACACAAACAAAACAATAAAATTAATGACTACGACTTTGAAATTAAGATTTGAAGGGAAATTCCTCACCATAAAGGATAGAAATCTAGCAAAGAAAGGTAATTCAGTTAGAGCCATTCTCTAGATATGCCCATAGGTACAATAGTGGCACAAATCTTATGAAAATAACCAACTGCTTTCTGATTAGATTTACATCCCACTCCACAGAAGGAAATGCATGCCTGGTACCCCAAAAAACGTGAACTTGAACTTATGGTTATGGAGCTCACAGGCCAAGGATGAGCCCACTCACATTTTTCTGTTAAATGGACATAGCATCAAATTGCACTCTGAATTTGTATCTGTTGATCTATAGATTAGTGCTGCTCTCAGACCTCATCAGAGAAGTTTGTGCAGTGGATGATCATTAAAATAGAAACTCACAATTGCTCAAAGCGTAGACAATAAGTGTCTGTGGAGTACTTTGCCACAAGTGGGACATCTATATCACTCCTCCTCCCACCAACAGTTAGAGACCATTGTGGAAGAGGGGATGAAAAGCGTATAAGAACCAGAGCTTGGGGCTGGAGTGATGGCTCAGCAGTTAAGAATACTGAGTGTTCTTGCTGAAGACCTGAGTTCAAATCCCAGCACCCATATGGCTGCTAACAATTGTCCATAACTCCAGTTCCAGGGGATCTGACAGCCTCTTCTGTCTTCCTCAGGCATTGCACAACACGTGCGCACTTACCTACATGTAGGCAATACACGCATACACATAAAATAAAAATAATTTTTTTTAAAAAAGAATCAGAGGTCAGGGAGGACAGGAAAAAAATCTATGTCTACTGTGCTTGACATGACCATTACACCCATGCACTCATGGCAGCTGTGGTTGCCTGGAGACCTCATAAGATCAAGCCAGTCAACTTTGTAGCATTGTGCAGGTGGAACACACAAGCCCCTCCTTTAACTGAGGAGCTATTAAAAATTGATGGCTTCAGAGCAATGTAGCAAGTAAGTGAGTGAGTGAGTGAGTGAATGAATGAATGAATTAAATAAATAAATATAACTTCCCTATGAAATGTGGGTACGAATGTTTTAGAAATTTGATAGAAAACATTGAAATTAGATGCTACCAATAAGGGATATTACATGACCAGGTAATTTGCCCTGGAGGCGGTGTTTTGCAGGCTTTAGAAAAACAGAAATGAAGAAATTAAAGAAAATATAAGTATATAAATGGAAATTGATTGATAGCTTTTTCCATTGGGAGTATTTTTATTATTTTACTAGTCATTTAGAAGTTTGATCCTCTTCCTTATGTTTTATGTCTTCAGTATAAGCAATATCAGCATTCTGAAAAGCAAATGAAGTCCTGCCATGCTGCGGTCCACTGGGCAGTGATGATACCAAAATCTTATTCGTATATTGCAATCTCTCTCTCTCCTTTTTTTTTTTTTTTTTTTTGCAGTTTTGCTAAAGGGAGGAAAAAAAGAGGAAGAGAAACCATTTAGAGACTGTGCAGATGTATATCAAGCTGGTTTTAATAAGAGTGGAATCTACACTATTTATTTTAATAATATGCCAGAACCCAAAAAGGTAAAAACAGAAGTGTTTTATTGTTGTTGTTTTTATAATATTTTGTTATTTTTATTTTATGTGTATGAGTATATTACCTGCATGTATGTGAGTGCACCCATGTCATGCAATGCCGCGGAGGTTAGAAGAGAGCTTTGGATATCCCTGGAACTGGAGTTAAGGACAGTTCGTAGCTGCCATGTGGGTGCTGGGAATCGAACCCCGGTCCTCTACAAGAGCAGTCAGTGCTCTTAACCGCTGAGTCATCTCTCCAGAAGTGGTTGTTGTTGTTGTTGTGGTTGTTGTTGTTGTTGTTGTTGTTGTTGTTTTTATGAGATGTAAAGCACATACTGGTTGGATAGCTGGAGAATCAGATCAACTTGTGAGCTGTTAAACTTGATTTACATGCACACGTGCACATGCACTCACACACACATGCATATAGAAATGCACATACATGCTCCCAAGCACAGTCACAAGTATACCCATGTGCACACACGTGCACACACATGAGTACATATGTGCACACATATGCACAAATAGACATTCTTGAGTTCTTTTCTCATAGAAATTCTATGTTTCTCCTGTTCATAGGGGATGAAAACTCTATTCTGCAGACATTCTCTAACTCTAGCACCTTTCATTCTTTGGCCACATAAACTTTTATTCTTTCTTATTCCCTGGATGTCCCTTGTTCAGAAATGTCTGCTTGCACAGATTGCATCTTGGTGCCACATCCACCCTGAGTGCCTGGATAAGCATTAGAAGTCATCTCCCAATATCCTAAGAAGTCAGGTGTACACATCATCTTATGTGGGAATGGGGCACATAGAGATATTTTCAGAATTATTAGTGCCATTAAATTGAAGAAATATAGCCTGCCTTAACTCAAAAATTTGGAAAGATATGCCTCTCATATTTACTTGAGTGTGAATTGGAAGAACAGACCCAACTTTACGTTGAGCAGGATTCAGTGAAAACTTTGAAGTAATTAAGGAATATCTTCCTGCTGTCATGACCCCATTATAGACTCCTCCCCATCCATCCATTATCACCCATCTGTGCCTTCAATCAGTATAATTAATTCGATGTCATTCATTTGTCAGTCATTGTCCAAGAACTAAACATGAAACAAAGAGTTTCCAGTGTAGTAGAGAAGGCAGGCATTTGCACAATAGTTATCAAATACTATAGAAATGTAGTGCTACAGATGGTCTTTTTGAAGCAAGCTGTTAGGGACCTTTGAGATAAGACAGCCAAAACACAGTGGATCAGAGGCAAGAGTCCTGCTCTTTAACATGTGAAGGCTTAGCCAAATATTAAGATCCCAGGAGGGTGCCTGCTCTTGCTTGACAGAACAACTTTCCTCTGCTCTTTCCACATCTATTTTTACCTCTTTACTTCTCTGAATCAGGTGCAAATGTTCATGGAGGTTCTTCCAGGATTCCCTGGAAGTGACTTTGCATGATATTTTCATACTAGAGTTCCACAAGACAGAGAGTGTGCCCTTTCATATCTAATTTCCTGGGTCCAAGCATGGTTTCTTCACATAGTAAGTCCTTAGTAAATAAGCACTAGAATGAATGAGATAATGAATGAATAAATGAATGAATGAATGAATGAATGAACTGCTGATTAAAGTGTCAGCACTTCCTGATTTCAGTGTCCTTTGATAAACAAGGGAAATGACTCTTGGAGAGCCATGTGCCAGATGCCATGCAACTGTCAAGGCCAGGAGCCTGGACTACAGTCCAGGTCTGATCAGATGCTAGCTCCCTTTCTGCCACTGTCTCTAGACCCTGATTTCAATAAGAACTACTGTGTCAATAGCTCACTATTTTTCCCTTTTCTATGGACACATTTTTTTTTTCTTAACAGAAGGCTGTTTTGTTTCACAAATGGGAAAGATGGGGATGGAAAGCTCAGGAGGGAGGAAAGGTGGCAGGTGCAATTCTATGCACTTCCACCTCAGCCACTTATGAAGAACTTTGGTTTCATCTGGTTTTCACTTGAAGATTCTATGCAATGTTTTCTCAATCAAGTAATGTGTGACTTAAAATACAAAAATGCAAAAATGTGAAGAGTCAAGAATGAGGAGATGAAAATAACAGGATAAGAAGGGATTTTTGGATCTCCTAAAATCATGCCAATAAAAGGTCCTAATATCTTGGCAGTTGCACTACAGTTTATAATTTAACTTAAAAAAATTACATGACTATCTTTTAGACTCCTAAACATTCAGTTATTTGGGGCTGTAGAGATAGCACTGGCTGCTCTTGCAGAGGACCCAGGTTTGATTCTCAGCACCCACATGGTGCTTAACAAACCATCCATGACTCCAGTTCCAGGGGATCTGACGCCATCTTCTGACCTCTGTGGGCATTGCATGACACTGATGTACTTATATACATGCAGGCAGTACATTCATACACAAAAAGTTCTTTAAAAGTTTTTATAAAAAGATCCTAGCCGGGCGTGGTGGTGCACACCTTTAATCCCAGCACTCAGGAGGCAGAGGCAGGCGGTTCTCTGTGAGTTCAAGGAGTTCCAGGACAGCTGAACAGCTGGGGCTACAGGGAGACCCTGGCTCAAAAAGACAAAAAAAAAAAATCCTATTATTCATATGAACAAAAAAAATAATTTTCAAATTTTCAGACTGAGAAGATTCATAATTTTAGCATTTTTCACTACACCGTGAGTAGAAGGTAGCAGAAGTAAAGTGTCCATCATTCTATATCATTCTATGGATTTTATTCATATAGTTTAATTCCTCTATGAATATAATTCAAATCTACTTCAAAATGCACTGAGAAGGAAATGATGCCATTCATGCAATGTGCTCAACCAGGGCAGAAGAAAAGTACTTTTTCTTAACCCATCATGAATACTTTTCACATTTATATGTTTCATCCAAAAGATAATTTACATTGGTGATTTTGTAATTTAGATTTCAGTTATTGAAGTACAACTTTAAAGCCTCATTTATGCAAAATCTATCATTTGTGGAAGGGTAACTTAAATCACTCTCTTGTGGAGCTCAACCTAGAAGCCAGCCACTGAACTACAAAATTAGGTCTTCCAGCCCTCTCATTTGGGTAAATGAAAGTATTCATAATTACAAGTTTAAAGGGAGTGCTTCTGTTCTATCCTAACAGGATTCTCTAACAAGTAGCAATACTGTGTTTTTTAAACTTTTTTTAAATTGAGCCTTTAAAATTTCATGCAATATTTCCCACTCACAACCAGACCCCCCCCCTCCCCAATCTATGCCTCCCCCTCCCTCACCAAACCCTATGAACTCTGCCATACATTCTGAGCCCTATTCATTCAGGTGTTTGTGCCCAAATGTCCTTTAGTGTAAATGCATCCACTGGAGTCTTGTCAGCCCATCTAGTGGTTGTATGTAAGTCATACTCCTGCCCCCCTCACTAAGCAGCAACCAGTCTCAAATAGTTCTTGATCTAGTGCTGACCTGCCACATATTGCTCACCTCCTCTTTGGGCCCTTGTTTAATTGAGCTGACATGGGTGCTGCATTTGATGCAACCACTGCCACAGACACACATGAGCAAGCCTCCATTGGCCTGGAAGCCTCCACCTCATATGTTCATGAACCAGCCCTGGTTCTTACAATCTTTCTGCCTCCTCTTCCACAATGGCCCCAAAATTTGGCCAGTTAAGGCCTTCTGTGCATAACACAATCTGATGTACATGGAAACTTCACTGGTGAGAGTTGAGGGGTGCATTAGCCCTCTCTCTACTCCTTATTATGCTATGCTCCATGAGTCTTGGTTGTAGGAATTTAACCACAGATGTGTCACATAGTGCCGCGCATCTCCCAGGTCAATTATGTTCTCTATAATTGACCAGATGTGCAACTCTGCTGTAGCCCCCGTCTGTTTTCAAAAAGAAGTTTCTTTGATGAGTGCTATACGGCATGTTTGTGATTCTAAGGGAGGTCTCTTCTATCTGGCACTGTGTTCCCTTCCATGTAGCTCCTAGTCATACATATGCATTAATAGTCACTTTACGAGCATTTCCCATAGGGTTTCTAGGGCATCACTTTTCCCTCCAGGTTTCCTAGCCCCTGAGAATCACTCACCTCTGCTCCTTTGTCTCCCATCCAGCCTCCCTCCTCCCTCTCTTCCTAGTCATAATGCCCCCATTATTATCACCCTCCCCCCAATACCTCTCAACTCCCTTGAGTGTCCCTCCCTCCTCTCCTCCCTGTAGATTACTCGTAATTTTTCCACCTCCCTCAGGTAGCATCTGTTCCCTACTATCTCCCTTTCTGGTTGTTTCTTTCCTTTACCTCCATGTACCTTTTGCCTTTTCCTGACTCCTGGTGTTACTTCAGAATTTATATACTCACATATAAAGAATTGGTGCTACAATCCACAAATGAGGGAAAACATATGCTGCTTTTCTGCATTTGTGTTACTTCACTTACTATAACACTTCCTAGCTCCATCCATTCACCTGAAAATTTCATAATTTCATCTTTTCTTATTGCTGAGTAAAACTCCATTGAATAGATGTACCACATTTTCATTAACCATTCCTCAGTTGAGGGACATTTAGATTGTTTCCATTTCAGCAGTGATTGAGTGTTCCTCTTTGTCCACATCCTCTCCAGCATTTGGAGTCTTCTGTTCTCTTGACCTTGGCCAATCTGACTGGGGTAAGATGAAATCTTAAAGTCGTTTTGATTTACATTTGTCTAATTACTAAGGATGTTGAGCACTATTTAAGGTGCTTCTTAGCCATTTTTATTTCTTCCTTTGAGAACTCTCTGTTTAGGTCTATCACCCATCTTTTTATTGGGTCGTTTATCTTATTTCTTTCTTTTTTTGAGTTCTTTGTATATTCTGGATATTAATCCTCTGTCTGATGTGCATCTGGTGAAGATTTTCTCCCACTCTGTGGGTTTCCTTTTCCCTTCCTTAGTTGTTTCTTTTGCTGTAACTTTGTAATTTAATGAGGTCCCACATACTGATTTTTGACCTTAGTGCCTGAGCAGCT